TCTTTCATTGATTCAGACAAAATGTTTTATGGAAGTATTTATTACAAATCAATTTATGATCACAGGATGAGTGCGGCGAATCGTATTTACATAAGTGAATAATATTCTCCCCCTTCACTTGTACGGTTTCGCATTGTGTGGTTTCGTATACACGTTGCTAAGAAACTCTTCTGTTTCGTGAAGCACCAATTATTTTCCCAATAAAGGAAGATTCTATATTTTCGTTTACAAGATTGACAAGCAAAGAACTGAAAAGCGTAACAGATTCCTCGAGACGAAATGATTTTTATGCCATCAAAGGAATTATTACCTATATTACATTACGTTACTTTTCTCGAGACCTTTCCTTAGGTAAAATAAGTCCAGGAAATTACGATATTTTCCGTTGCGCTTAATTGAATACACCTAATGCTATGTTATTGCAAAATATATCAGGTTTTGTTCACAGTTTGTGCAAGATTTCTACAAAAATAGGAATTTGAAAGGCCGAATAGTAGGTACAACCGATTTTGGTTTGAGTATAGTTGAAAATTCAGCTGGTTTCCAAACGATGGCAGGGGTTTAAAACAATCTGCACTGGAAAAAGCTAGGGACAAAGTTTCGGAATTCAATGGGATTCGAATTGTGTTTGTTGGAAAGCACCTATGCTTGATCTGTAATAAGAGAGATCGGCTCCCAGGCTTTTATAGGAAACTTCGCCCTGTGTATTTTCTTTATATTACACTTTAGGTCAAAAGGCAAAACTCATAAACTATTAAGACCTGTAATTTCATTGAAATCGTCCAAAAGTGACAGATCTGACTTGAAATTCCCCTTATCTAGAAATCCAGAGTACAGACCTGTGAAAAGAATAACTAGCCGTATGCGAAATGCTAGGAAGATTAACAATAATTGGGAAAAATCAGGAAAAATCGCTCGAATTTTGAATGGGACCATAAAAGATGGATTTTTCCTCCACCACTTGACAGTTTTCTTCTAGGTTTTCTTTGGCGAAAAATATTCATTTAAATTTTCTTTTAGAAATTTCATTGTGTATTGGTTTCCTTTAGATTCCTCTAATCTTCGTCCCTTCCTTTCCACAGATTCGCAACAGCCTATCAGACCTGATCCTGTTGCTTTCAGAATGATAATCAATGGAACTAAAATTCGACAGATGGTTGTTTGACTTGATGGTCTCATCCTCATGCGTCTGATCCTTGAACTCGTAGAAATCGATTGGCGAAGGTTTGACATCGCTGACCGACAAACAAACGAATAAAACCATCAGGTAAGGGAAATTTTTTTCTGTTTTCTTACGATAATTTCTTACTCGAATTTCGTAATGTAATAAAAACTAAGTGGGCGAATATAAAATAAAACCGAGCATATCCCTTGTACACGGGACCATTGAAATCTCTGTAATGGTGTGATATACAGTGTAGGTTAAATGTAGGCAAAGTTGTCCCTTTTTGTGACTAAAAAACGCATTTAAAAAGAAGGGTTAACTGCAACCTTCTAAATGTGAAAGAAGAGTTACAGAACCAATTGCTACATTAACTATTGCAATTAGTAGACTGGATCAAAAACAGCTCCTTGCACATTATGCTCTCCTAATGCACCAAGAGGAGAATAGTATACTGTGTATTAATGTATTTTTTGGCGAAGAATCCACGAGGTCTTAGATATGTATTTGAAGTTACGTATTTTATTGCTAGAAAGAGATTGGATCCTTTGCGAAAAATACATTACCATTTCCCTATGTTGCGTTCTACTTGGGACACACTGTATATCACTTATTATGCTCTCCTGATCGTGAAAGGATAGCGAAACACTTACTTACTCTTGAAAATCGGAACAAAAACACTTCTTCGCAACTATGTACTCCTAATACATACAGGTAGAAACGAAGCATTAAAAATCCAGCCTGATATAAACGTTTTTTTTCGCATTTTGTACTCTCCCAATAGTGAAGGGATACTTGCAAACCACTTCCCACACTTACAATTGCAATTGACAAGACCTTCGCGAACACTATGTTCTCCTAATTCACCAAATGAATTCGAAGCATTAAAACGCAATCTGACATAGAGAAAATATGGGTAAAAGTGCACGAACTTTCCTAACATTACCGTAGAAATTAAGCCGAGATCCACTGTGGTATAAAAACGATTTCTCTACTGTTTTCCTGATAGTGAGAGGATACTTGCAAAACATATCTTAGTGCTAGATTATGTTCTCCTAACATTTTAAGAGAAAAATCGAAGAATGAAAGGGTCTGGCTGGTACTTATAAAGAAATTTTCGTTACTTATGTTCTGTTGCAGTTACTTTTTCCAATTTGAACCAAAAGTCACTCATGTTCTCCTAATAAATTAAAGGAATAAAATGGAAATTCAGAAACCTAGCCTGCTATAAATAAAATTTCTTTGCTTGTTATATTCTTGAGAATGAGAAAAATTCTTGCAATTCCTTGTAATTACTTTTGTAATTAAGGGCACAGTCTGTGGGCAATTTTTTCTGAGAATCTGGATCTCTTGTCAGAATTTCCATAACACGCTAGTTGTTGTAGAAGGCACAAGCTACCACTTTCTTAGTTCCTATGGACGTTAAGAGGAGAAAAAAAGAAATTTGAATGCGTAGCCATCATAGCTATGTTGATTCAGCAAGATCTAGTTATCCGTGGATGTTTTGTTTACAAATGAATGTAAAACATTGGATTTTGAAGGTTATGAAAAAGGATAGAGTGACACGTCATTATTTTTGTTTGTCCTATATCTCATTCAGTAAAAATCCAATATGGCGTCCATAAGAAATAAGAAACTATCAGCCTGTAGCTTCTACATCTAGCATCTTATGGAAATTCAGATTCAGATTCTCCGAAAAAAGGGCGGGTGCTACGAGAACCGTCTATTTCCGACCATTTAAGCTAGGGAAAATAAAACGAAATTTGGCAACTTAGGTTAAAAATTTAAATTTGAAAGTTATGAATTTTAACTTTTTGGCATAAGCCAATATCTTGGATTTAAAGTTTTAAAAGTTTGCAATTATACTTGGAGTTACAACTGCATTAAGATTCATTTGGTATGTAGTTTTATCGCAATAATAACGCATTAATTAATTTCAAATGGCTAGAAATGATCTAAAAATGTAAATATATCACAATCCTTAACCGAAGCCGAGCTGTTAGGTATTACCGTCAAATAATAATTTTCTAGAGCCCTATTGATACGTTGACTTGTATTATAAGTAGTTTTTTTTATTAATAAACCGACTTGACTTGACTTAAAATTACTGAAAAATTTAATATGTATAAGTAATTTAAAACTTTATGAAGTTTTGAAAAGGATCGTTTCAATCTTATGGCAAACAAATACCAAAAATTTAAGTTACATCTCGAAATGTTAGCCCCAATCTTCGACTTACAACCCAAAATCATGACGTTTGAAATTTTGAGTTGCATGTCAAAATGTTTGGTCTAACTCCGAGTTATAAAGTGAACTTTTAAAATTTCATTTTACGATAAAGATCTAAAAAAGTTCTTCCGGACCTTTGTGGTTCTAATATAAGACTTTTCTCGGTTGCGTTGTGTACTTTGCATATGACCTCAGTAATCAGTATCCCAGTTGTGTACATTTTTGAATTCTTTGAGTCGTTTAACATTCGTTGATTTGGCGAATAGGGAACCGCTTTAATTTCAGTTGGTTGCTTACTCAACGGCAAATTAGGACGTCATATTTGAAAGATCCTGTATTGAACTGCTAGTATTTTTAAGTCATTCTTAACCATTACTTAACCGAGTAAATAGTGGTTCAGTCAAATCCTATACGTTTTGGGAAAAATTAAGAAATGCGCAAGATGTACGTAAACCTCAATTCTAAGCCATCTCTCTTAAAAAATTGAGTCTCGAGGATCAGGATTTGGAAGTTTCTCTAACAAGGTTTCTTCCATCACCTGAGTTTAATAGGGATTGGAATGCTTATTTGTAGCCCCGCGAATTAGAACCATTTGCTTAATTGGGTTTAAATGAAATAACACACTAGTTAATGAAAATAGTAGTTCAATGTAACGAATTTACTTCGCCTCAATTGGGCACATGCACGTATATGTACATCCGACGTGAAAATTGATTAATTTTACCATTTAAAGGAGGTTAAATTTGGCACATTTTAAAGAGAAAATTGCAGTTTTCCAAAAAAAATTATGGGTGCAATTTCCATTTAAGAAAACGATCATTTATTTTCGTTTGCTAATAATCGATTAACTCACGCGGAAATTGAGCCATCAAATATGTCGGTAAAACATTAGACCTTTGGCCACTCCAGCGTAGAAAGGTACTGAAATACGGTTCCGCATAATTTATGCCTGGTTGACGAAACACTAAGGGAAGGCATTTTCCGAAGCATTTTCCGTGATTTAAGGAATTTATACGCAATGTCATCGTTCTAATTCGAAGTGAATCAGCTTAAAAATAAAAGTGACACACATACGTCGAGATTTCAGGTAAATGTCAAGAACGTTTGGGAAAGTGTTTAATCCTTGCATATCTGAGAGGCGTACAAAAAATATTATATAAACAAAACAACGCGGAGCATCACGCGAAATTGAAGGTAATTATCGATATGGAGTGTAATTTAATTAATAACCGAAACTTTCTCGCCCTCGTCGGTATTTAAACATTACCTACGAAATTAGGAAACGTTTTGGATTGTGCAATAAAACTAAACGCTCCGGTATGTGGAAACTAGGAAATTACAATTAAATTCCATTCACAATTTGTAATATAAATTCAGATTAAACAATGAGTAAAATTAGGCCAATTTATTTTATATTAAAGGTAGCGTAGTATGCAACAGTAAAGAGACGTTGGCCTTGTTTAAAGAGGTTGCAAAACAATACCGTACCTAGTAATGATTAATCCGAGTGTTGCCAATCTTTCGTGTCAGTATCTAAATATTTAATAAGGGAGAAAATTCGACGACCTATATTTTAATATTGCAATATTTTTGTTCAACTTTGGATTACCTTGTGCGGTGGTCATGAGCCATCGGTTGAGCAGAACCGATAAAATAAAAAAAATTCGATGACAATGCCCCATTTTATAATCCTTTATAACACATCACATAAATTTAAAACATCATAGGCGCGGGAGACGAGAAAACACGCTCACTAAACAGTAATTATACTACGATGCATCGACTTAACAAGCACGCACCGCGTATCAAACTGAAAGCTCGCGTGAAAATCCTTTCACAAATACGGCTACTATCGGACTGGTACCAGCGGTGAAGTAGTAGACCTGCTCCCGGAGAACGTAATGTAAATGAGAAATGAAGAAGGAGATTGCGCGATCTGCACTTGCTCAATCCTGCCGAAATCCTGAATCCGTTGTTTCCAGATTAAGGTGTTAATAAGTGGCTCTACAAATTTCCGATTTATTGTTCGGGATTATTTCTAACAAATTCGTTTCTATTGTATTGCCCTTTACAAGCGAACACGTTTCGGCAAAGGAAAAATTGACCGTGACATGAGATTTTCACTTTCTGTTAGTTATTCAACTGGAAATGTCAAGGGGAAGTGATGATCCAAAGGATTACTACCCTTTTAACTTCTGACATACCGCATGCACGAGATTTAAAAAAATTGGTTTAACTATAGCAACTGTTTGCATAATAATTCACTTATTAATGATTGATCGCCTAGCATTTCCGTAAATATATAATGGGTTGTTAGTCCATTTAGCTAACTCTTCCATCATTTGTCTGTATGTTCGACAAGAAAATTAAAAGGGTTCCATTTCGAACAAAGGATTTCACATCGGCTTAGAAGACCTTGCAAGATTATTGGGAACCGCGTGAAAGGTTTTCGTGGAAAACAAACCCGTAATTGTGACAATTCCGTTCCTTCTTCTAGGATATAAAGCAGAAATTGAAATCGGCGACATACATATATCGAGCCTTGTACGTAGATCGCTCTTTTTATGGCAAAACAGAGGGAATAGCATGAAAGAGGAAAAATGTGATCGCTCTTTGTTTGGGGTGTAAATGTAATTGTTGTGCTTCACCGTTTAAAAGTGCTCGTTGAAAGGTTTATACTGTTTTCAGTTTTCCCCCTTAGCGTTGAAGAATATAAGCTTTGAAAATTACCTTTAATTTATTATGGTGAAATATGTAAGTTACAGTTTCTTCAACTACATTTAATTAGTGTAACTGACTTTTCGCTCAATAACGTTTCTGTAAATAAATAAATTCATATACCCTTCCTAAAGCTGTGAAACGATGTTCTATTCTGAAAATTTGAAGAATATTAATTTTGTACAGTAAAATTACGTCTTATACTTATAAAAGTAGCTTTATATCAAACGTCCCCTCAGTATTATCTATTTGGCTAAGTAAACGTACCTATTTTCTACAAATTCTCTCCAACCACTGTTCTGTTACCCCTGCCATTTTAGTTTTAATGTTTAATTAATTTTTCTTTGGATACCTATGTATTTTTTGTTGATATGCTGAATTTCTTTAATTTTCGCGTTTAAAGTGAAAGTATATTTACTATAGTCAAACATGCAATATTCAAAATTCATTGCTGCAATCCTACTCAGCCCGTTCCTCAACATCCTCTTGATAGGGAGAGTTCTCTACCTACATCTAGCAGGGCTAAGACATAGTATCAGAGTCGAACAAAATCGAAAAGCACAGATTTGTCTAATGCATTTTAATGCCAAATTGTCTCAGATTGACCCGGAAAAAAAATTTTCTTATTGAATGTGGCCTGTAGAATTCATAATTTCAAACAGTTTCAAGATTGGGCTACTAGTTCAAAAGTTACAGCCCTTTGAATTTTTTTTCGAAATTGGTTTCCAGTCTATAACTTTTGATTGAGAAGTGATCGAAAAAGTACGAATTGATTTGGATTCTACGCACCCAAATTAATAAAAACAAGTGTTTTCCCGAGAAATTTTGGTGTAGTCCATTTTTGGTAAAAAAAAGGAAGGTTATACACTGCCTTTTTTTGAGCCCCGAAAAAAAAATTGTCTCAGATCGACCCGGAAAAAAATTTTCTTATAGAATGTGGCCTGTAGAATCCATAATTTCAAACAGTTCCAAGATTGGGCTACTAGTTCAAAAGTTACAGCCCTTTGAATTTTTTTTCGAAATTGGTTTCTAGTCTATAACTTTTGATTGAGAAGTCTGATCGAAAAAGTACGAATTGATTTGGATTCTACGCACCCAAATTAATAAGAAAAAGTGTTTTCCCGAGAAATTTTGGTGTAGTCGATTTTTGGTAAAAAAGGAAGGTTATACACTGCCTTTTTTTGAGCCCCGAAAAAAAAATTGTCTCAGATCGACCCGGAAAAAATTTTCTTATAGAATGTGGCCTGTAGAATCCATAATTTCAAACAGTTCCAAGATTGGGCTACTAGTTCAAAAGTTACAGCCCTTTGAATTTTTTTTCGAAATTGGTTTCTAGTCTATAACTTTTGATTGAGAAGTCTGATCGAAAAAGTACGAATTGATTTGGATTCTACGCACCCAAATTAATAAGAAAAAGTGTTTTCCCGAGAAATTTTGGTGTAGCCCATTTTTGGTAAAAAAGGAAGCCTTTTTTTGAGCCCCGAAAAAAAAATTGTCTCAGATCGACCCGGAAACAAAATTTTCTTATAGAATGTGTCCTGTAGAACCCATAATTTCAAACAGTTCCAAGATTGGGCTACTAGTTCAACAGTTACAGCCCTTTGAATTCTTTTCGAAATTGGTTTCCAGTCTATAACTTTTGATTGAGAAGTCTGATCGAAAAAGTACGAATTGATTTGGATTCTACGCATCCAAATTAATAAGAAAAAGTGTTTTCCCGAGAAATTTGGGTGTAGTCCATTTTTGGTAAAAAAGGAAGGTTATACACTGCCTTTGTTTAAGCCCCGAAAAAAAAATTGTCTCAGATCGACCCGGAAAAAAAATTTTCTTATTGAATGTGGCCTGTAGAATTCATAATTTCAAACAGTTTCAAGATTGGGCTACTAGTTCAAAAGTTACAGCCCTTTGAATTTTTTTTCGAAATTGATTTCCAGTCTATAACTTTTGATTGAGAAGTGATCGAAAAAGTACGAATTGATTTGGATTCTACGCACCCAAATTAATAAAAACAAGTGTTTTCCCGAGAAATTTTGGTGTAGTCCATTTTTGGTAAAAAAAAGGAAGGTTATACACTGCCTTTTTTTGAGCCCCGAAAAAAAAATTTTCTCAGATCGACTCGGAAAAACAATTTTCTTATAGAATGTGGCCTGTAGAATCCATAATTTCAAACAGTTCCAAGATTGGGCTACTAGTTCAAAAGTTACAGCCCTTTGAATTCTTTTCGAAATTGGTTTCCAGTCTATAACTTTTGATTGAGAAGTCTGATCGAAAAAGTACGAATTGATTTGGATTCTACGCATCCAAATTAATAAGAAAAAGTGTTTTCCCGAGAAATTTGGGTGTAGTCCATTTTTGGTAAAAAAAGAAGGATATACATTGCCTTTTTTTGCGCCCCAAAAAAAAAAATTGTCATTCAGATCGACCCGGAAAAAAATTTTCTTATAGAATGTGGCTGTAGAATCCATAATTTCAAACAGTCCAAGATTGGGCTACTAGTTCAAAAGTTACAGCCCTTTTGAATTTTTTTTCGAAATTGGTTTCTAGTCTATAACTTTTGATTGAGAAGTCTGATCGAAAAAGTACGAATTGTTTTGGATTCTACGCACCAAAATTAATAAGAAAAAGTGTTTTCCCGAGAAATTTTGGTGCAGTCGATTTTTGGTAAAAAAGGAAGGTTAATCACTGCCTTTTTTGAGCCCCGAAAAAAAAATTGTCTCAGATCGACCGGAAAAAAATTTTCTTATAGAATGTGGCCTGTAGAATCCATAATTTCAAACAGTTCCAAGATTGGGCTACTAATTCAAAAGTTACAGCCCTTTGAATTTTTTTCGAAATTGGTTTCCAGTCTATAACTTTTGATTGAGAAGTCTGATCGAAAAAGTACGAATTGATTTGGATTCTACGCACCCAAATTAATAAGAAAAAGTGTTTTCTCGAGAAATTTTGGTGTAGTCGATTTTTGGTAAAAAAGGAAGGCTTTTTTTGAGCCCCGAAAAAAAATTGTCTCAGATCGACCCGGAAAAAAAATTATAGAATGTGGCCTGTAGAATCCATAATTTTAAACAGTTCCAAGATTGGGATACTAGTTCAAAAGTTACAGCCATTTGAATTTTTTTCCGAAATTGGTTTCCGGTCTATAACTTTTGATTAGGGTTGTATCTGTTTATTATTTATTATTATTTAGTATAGTTTTATTTTGAACATATAAGCTAAATGTAAAATAAAATTGAAAAAGAGGTACTACTTAAATAATCTAAAAATACGAGATTTTACATATTCAAAATTAATTTTCTCAGTTATGATTGAAAAACTGTATACTTATTACTAAACAGAGAATTAGAATCTCTTTAAAATAAGGTGTCGCACGACCCCCTTTTTAATTTAAATTTTTTGAGGGTCTGCATGTGATGCAGAGGGAAGTTGCTAGAGAGGGGTAATGCTTTTAACCGCCATTTTCCCCGATGTGTCACTCGAACCAACGTTAAACTTAAAATTATTGAAGGGATGGCAACCGCGCTTTGGGGGTTGACGCCAAGGGTGCAAATTTCTTAAGTAACAGATGTCCCCCTTCCAATAAAAATCGACCTGTTTTTCCTTTTTCCAAAAAACTATTTCCTTACGAGTTACGAATCTATTTCCTTTTGGTTGTGCCGCCGTGTATATTGACCCCTACTTGTGTGTATGTCAACAGGACTATCTACAGTAGTTATAGAATCCGTCCCGATTACTTAACACGAGATCATATTTTTTACCCGGTCGGACAGAATAGCAGCAATTTAAATGTCCTTTTTTTCTATTAAACGACCGCTGCCTTTCAGCTTTTGCTTCAATCGAGTCTACACCATTCAATCTGAAAATGGGACCCACTCGTGCATTCGCGGTTGTGGCGCCTCGCTTTCAGTCCACCACTGCAGATACTTTTCAGAACTGTAAACTGTAAAAGCGGTCTACCGGTCGAAAATGTATGTTCACTGTGAATTTGCTTTGCAAAGAGACATAAGCAAAACACCCTGAAAGGGTGCACTTTTGGTGGTGGGGCACTCACACCAGGGCACCAGGGTATAGGGGGGTTCAAAGTTTCAACTCTAGATATTCTACCTGGCTTAATTTACAATTCCCGTTCAAAATGAATAT